GTTCCAAACAGAAAGAAAAATAGCAGGAAGAAAAATTATCAAAGAAATAATATAAATACATTTTGAAGAATTGAAGGATAAGACATTCCATACTGATAGGACTGTCTGCTCCCAGCAAGAGAAGAAAAGCAAAGCTCCAAGATGCTCTTTGTAAAATTTAACAATACAAAAAAAGATCCCAAAAGTCTCCAGAAAGAAAAAACTGGTCCATAAACAGTAACTGCAATCAGGATGGTCAACAGACTTCTCAAAAGCAGCACTGGAAGAGAGAAGACAATGGCACAGGAATTTCGGAAACCCTCCTTAGTGTGGTCAACTCGTGCCCAAGGAGCTCAGGCAAAATCAGTGACAGATTAAGAAGGCTCCACAAATTGGGGGAAAAAAAGAGTTAACAAGTAACATCAACAAAAATAAACAGATCTACAAAACAAACATAATTACAACTAGCCTCAGGAAAACAAGCAAGCCATTATCTATCCACTCTTAACAACATCAACATGATTTGTATGTAAATTGTGACACAATTATATTGGGGATAAAGATAGGTAAAACAGGGTGAGGCTATAATACTAAATGACTTTCTTCCATAACAAGAGTAGTTAAAATTGATAAATCAAGAGACAGCATGATAGAAACATAAAGATAAATACATAATAAACTGTTAGTTCTCTGAGGATTGGAAGAGGGGAGTGAACTAGGAGACTGTTATTACACTCTTTTCCACTTTGAAGATATAAAAAGTTCTACTTAAAAATGCAAGAAAGTTTAGTTTGTTTTTCAATATGAATAAATGAGCAGTTAAGACAATAAATTCAGAATGGCAAGTTCTTCACAAATTAGCTAATATGTGCGTGCACGTGCTCTCTCTCTCTCTCTCTCTCTCTCTCTCTCTCACACACACACACACACACACACACACACACACAGAACAGAGTTCATATGATAGCTTTTGTTGCACATACCACCAGAAAGAGAAGATGAGCTAGCTATATAGAGATGATAATTTTTCTGAATCTCTTCAATTTTTATTAAGAACATACTATACACTACACAGTCACAGGAATGAGACAATAAATAAGGTTGTCCTTGGATGTACAACTATGATATAACAATATTTTAAAATACAAAAAAAATGAGTAAGTTTGTCCCTGGGGGTCATCTGCCTTGAGGTGTTCCAAAGCTCATTTTCTTACAATCCTGAGGCAGAAAAGTATTTACATTTTCATGCAATCCTCAAGTAACTTGTTAATGTCATGCATTAACTTTAAGATTATTTTCTTACTCTGCATAATTTATTAATTCTTATAATTAATGCTTGGGCTCCTTCTCTTAGCCACATGCTATGATTCTCTAAACCCACATCCAACTCACAGAAGTGCTTGGCTCTCTAGACATTTCTGCAAAACAAACTATTAACTCCTTCTGGGTAGTTGGATGGAAACAGGAGGGCCAGAGAGAATTGTTCCAGTTTTTATTTTAGTGCCAGAATGGCTGAATCACAAAAGTACACATTCCATCACTTTTATCAGTTTTTAAAGAACCAAATTTTTAAGTGCCTTCAAATTATGCAATATCATTATATTCATTTCATTGAACAAAAAGTTTTAGAGCTAACCATGTGCTATTCTTGGCTACACTGTAAGGAGTTCAACTCACTGCCAGACTTAGAGGAACACCCCCACACTCCTTGAGTACTCTGTCCAGTGGTATCTGTGTCTTCCCAATGTATTATGTGTATATAGTCTATCCACCACCCCAGCCACTACTCTGAATATCTCTTTTAATTGAAATCAAAATGTCTTCAATTTCTAGCACCTAATAAAGTACCTACAACACAGTAGGAACATACTGTAAATAAACGCCTCACAAATGATAATACAGCCAATAATTAATCTTTTGGAGATGATACCATAATAAACCCACAAAATCATTATTCCTACAAAAGTGGTTAGGTAAGCAATGGTCCATCATGTATAACCACTGTTTTCAAAGTCAGGAACCATTTAAAAGGTTGTGCGTGACAGATGCATTTGAGATCCACGACTGCTATAATAGGTAGACATTATTTCATCTAATGAAGGGATAAAAATAAAATGAGCTCTGGACCCCCTGCTTTCTTCCTCCTTTCCGGAAACACAACCAAAGAAAGGGGAAACAAAGAATGAAATCTGCCTCATGGATCCCCTACTAATTCTCACTGGACCTTATCACTTAAAGGAAAAGGAGAACAGCACCAAAGAACATCCTTTAATGGCTTTATTTTCCTGCTAAACAGCAGCTTAAAACAGGTGTTAGACTACCGAGGAGAGTTCTAGTCTGTTTCCCACTAACTTGACCTGTCAGTTCCACAGTGTCTGGGCACCTCACTTCATGTATCCATTCAAAGAGGAAGCGTGCTGGATTATTTCCAACAAACCTATCCACTCTAACATTGCTCAGCCCTTATCTGCTTCAGTAATTAGGTAAATTCACTGAATACATCTTGTTTTCATAATTTGACTGGCTCTATGGGCTACATGGCACCATTTGATTACAAAAAGTATATGATTTCTTTATAAAAATAGTATCCATCTATTTATATTTGATGCCACAGAAAGTCAGGTACAGGATTAAAAACCCCTTTTGGAAATCAAATGTGCTTATAACTATCACAACCTATTTATCATTTAGTGTTAAATTTTAAATGAGCCACTGCATATTAATCAATTCTCCTCTAGAGCTCAGTTCTTTTTGGACACCTTATAGGCCATTATTTTCTTCTTTGGAGATTATATCTATGGAATTCTATGTAGAAATAACCAGTTGCATTATAAATAACTATTTATGTTTCTATTTCTCCCAGAGGCCAAGAGATTCTCATATAAAGCGAAACTGTTTTTCTTAATATTGTGTCTCCAATAGCTGGTTAAATATACTAACTATAATAATTATTCAGTAAATGTTGGCTAAATGAACATGGCAGAGCTTCATTGCTCACTCAAACTCCATTTGTCCCTTTCCCCTTAGGTAACCCTAGTTTCACTAGAGTTCCAGCATACCCAGGTCAAAGACTGTATTTCCCGGTGTTATCGCATGTGGGCATGCAATTAAGTTCCAGCCAATTAAATGTATGAGGAAATACTGTGTGGGACCTCTAGGAAGGCTCCAGAAAAGGGAGTACCTTATTTGTTCTTCTTTGCTCTCCCTTTCCTCCTTCCTACTGACCTAAGTGCAAACACAAAGATGATGCCAAAGCAGCCATCTTAGACTATGAGTTCATGGAGCTACATGACAGACAGCAGAAAATGAAAAGCATATGATGACTTACTTTAAGGAGCCTCCACGTCAGCCACATATATCCAGCTTGCAGAGTTCTTTCACATGAGAACAGAAAGCCTCACGTGTTTACACCACCACAGACAGGTCTCTATTACATCCAAACCCAATTCCTAATGGATACAATGACTGTTTCCTGAGAACAGTTTTACCATCAGTAAAGGAACCCTATGAAAAGTTTTCCAAGGTTCATAAAAGTAGGCAAACTTGCATCAAAATATGCATTGGTTCTTTGGTCTTTATTGAAACTATGACTTGGTGAGATAAAGAAAGGATTTCCCCGGTTTTTTGTTTTTATTTTTTTGTTTGTTTTAGTTGCAGGCTACCACGCGGAAAGATTGTCTTGTGCAGGTAATTATTCCTCCTAATCAAGCTCAACATCCACACATATCCTTTATTCATTCTCCAGGGAAAACAACCTGATATGCACAAATTTTTAGCATTCACACAAATATACCAACTCAAAGATGTTTATCTCCTTTCAGTTGAATAAACTTTCAGTGAACATTTTTACAATCAACTTATTCAACCAACACAAATCCTACAAAAACTTCTAAAATGTTTAAATTTCTAAAATTGACCTACTATTCAGAAGACTCATTCATGCTAAAGAACAGTTAATGAGACTTTTACTGTAGTATTAAAACATCAACTATGTTAGACAGTCCTTCTAAAAAAAATTCCCTCAAGGTTAAAAAATTAAAATAAGAGTGTTTTGATTTGTGACATCATAAACATATTAGGCAAATGACTAGAATGGGTTTTATAAAAGCACATGTGCTATTAAATTGAGGTCAATATGTCACAGTCTTAAATGTTTAAAAGGGTCTAAAACTATTACCCACCTTGACATACATGTAAGAAAGAATACCTACAGTTGGAAAACAGACGTTCTCTTAGTAGAATGTGTAGGTTTACAATGACACGAGGAAGAACTACTAACACAAATTAAATCTTTAACTGTTCAAAATGAGACCATAAAGAGTGCAACAACTGACAACCCCACTAATCCTTTAAAGTAACACCTAAGAATACTTCGGGATACACTGGCAAAACTGCCATAAAAGAGCTTTAACATTCTTCCACAGTAGTTAAATCTATTTACATCAACTCTACCATCATTAAATCATTGATTCAGCCTATTAGATTTTAACATCTTGGGATTCTAATGGAGATTCTATTTCCAGGTAACATTTTACAAAGACAAGAGCGCTACCAATTTCCAATTTTATAAAATTTCTCCTTTAGCTCATTAAAAAGGCCATAAAACTATTAACAATCTTCTATAATTAAAAACAACTATTTTCTAGACCTAGTTGGAAAAACAACTTAGGAACTAGAATGAACATAGAGATGGTAGTATGGCTTATGAAGATGAATAAATGATTCTCTGGTTAACTTCTCTTAAATACAATATATGAACTGAAAATGTTGAAGCAGCTTTCTATATTTTAATTTGTTTGCAAGAATTAAGTATCTGCACAAAGCCCCATTACTTTTGTGACCACACCTTCATACATCCTAAAATAGATAAACAGTCTTTATTTGCATAGTAAAATAATCTACCAGGATGCTTAGGGGAAGATACCTTCATCTTTAACAGGAAGTTACCTGAAGGCAAAACAGACTGTAAAATATTTGGCGGACTGCTTTACGACAAGGGGTTAAGCAGAAAGTAGTCTTACCTGTACCGTTGAGCGTACTGTTTTTATTTGTGTACAGTCTGATCATATGACCTATTGTTTTCACATTTTCTCTCAACATTATACCTCGAGCTTGTACCATAAAGAGATATGTGTTGGCTACAAAAGAAAAATAGAGAAAGAATGTCATAGATCAGTAAGCTCTTTTTATTTTATAATATTCAGAATTGAAGTGCCCAATAAACATAAACTGACTCAACCAGCACATTCAAATGGAAAATAGAAATATAAAATATTGCTATTATAAAAACTTACGAAAACAAACTGATTTTTTAAAAAATAATAATGTGGAAATATCTATCTATCAAATAGAATGAAACTAACTGAACAAACTAAAGTATCATAATGAACCCCCACATCCGTAAGTGATTTTCTACTATAAAATACACTTAGAAATTTCAAAAAGGCATTTTATTACAAGTACTCAATCCTACAGCTATAAAATTCAGTTTATATATTAATTTCTTCATACCAAAAACTTCACAAAGGCTAGGATTCCTTATAAATCCCATAATATCTAGTATGAATAAAGATCTTACATTGGTCCTGAAAATTCTTAGATGTGTTTGCAGGGAAGAGTGATCTAGGATCAGTATCTGTTTGGGTCATTTCTAAAAGTTAAACTTTTACACTCCCTTTCAATCACAGTTCTATCTACCAGGATCGCTAAAAGCAAAATCAAAATCAATATGCATTTTTAAAGTGGGTCAATTTAATTCTTCACAATAAGTTGCTTCAAAAATAGGCTCCTAATTTCTTCTGCTGGGAGAAACTGGTAAATTGACAAAGATTAGAAAAATCCCTAACTTTTGAGATGTCCAGACTCCCCAGAGACACAGAACAAAGTCAGAAGCTCCTTTCCTGGTCCCAATTCTGTTAGTGCTATGCACAACTTTGTACAGCTCCCTGGATCTCAGTTTCCTCGTTTTCACAAGGCAGATGTGCAAGTAGTGCACCCTTCTTTAAAGCCTCTAAACACGAAGCTAGCAAATCATTAACCCAATTCAGATGAGAGGCAGCAACTTGCTACCATGGCAAAAACCAAGAAACTGCAAGTCTCAGTTAATGACTCAATTTTAAGATAAGCTGTCTCTGAACATAGTAATGACACTCTCGAAAGATGAATGCTGAATAAAAAAATTAAGAATGCTGACTAATTTTCTGAGTCCTGCTCTACTTTCTCAAGATGGAACAGAGGGATGAGAGAAATTTAATGTTTACTACCTTCTTTTCCACTTTTTATGTAAATGTAAACTTGCTCAAAGTACATATGAGCACAGCATAAATAAAACTACTAGAGAAGCAGAGTAAAATAAAACTTCTTTCAACTTCAATCCAGAAAAAAGAGAGAAACAGAAATCCAGGTTTCACATAAGCTTTACAGGCGTCATTTTTAAGAGCATGTCTACAGGTTTTCTAAAAAGTAGTCCTATGATTACATTTAACTTGCTGACGTGTGAATTTACTATACTGGGTTACAAATACAACACATTTTTACATTTTTGTACTTAAGTGGACTTTAAAAGAATGAAGAACACAGTCATAAAAAAAAACACAATCATGTGCTTTGCAGCAGCATAGATGCAGCTGGAGGCCATTATCCTAAGCGAATTAACGGAGGCACAGAAAACCAACTACCGCATGTTCTCACTTGTAAGTGGGAGCTCGACACTGGGTACTCATGAACATAAAGATGGCAACGACATAATCTGGGGACTACCAGAAGAGAGGGACAAAGCAGGGCAGAAGTCTAAAAACTACCTATCAGGTACCATACTCACTAGCGAGGTGACAGGGTCAATCTTACTCCAAACCTCAGCATCATGCAATATACCCATGTAACAAAGCTGCACATGCATGCCCTGAATCTAAAATAAGGGTTGAAATTATTTAAAATAAATAGACCATATAGGGAAACACTTATTCATATAATTTATTTAATATATATTCATAAGTAAGGTGTGTGGTTTTTTGGCCATCTATGGTTTTGTTCTTAATGCTACTCTCATAAAATAGACTATACACATTGCAATCATTTTCTGAACTCTGAAACAACTGATGTAGTGTGGCAGATATTAAATCCTTAAAAGTTTGAACTGACCTCTCATAAGAAGTCATCTAAAAGTTGTAATGTTAGGGCGTGGTGGCTCAGGCCTGTAATCCCAGCATTTTGGGAGGCCAACATGGGTGATCACTTGAGGTCAGGAGTTTGAGACCAGCCTGGCCAACATGATGAAACCCCGTCTCTACTAAAAAATACAGAAAAAATTAGTCGGGCGTGGTGGCACATGCCTGTAATCCCACCTATTCAGGAGGCGAAGGCTGGAGAAACACTTGAACCCAGGAGGTAGAGGTTACACTGAGCCAGAATTGTGCCATTGCACTCCAGCCTGAGCAACGGAGCAAGACTGTCTCAAAAAAAAAAAAAAAGCTGTAATCAGACACCTGTTCCAATTCCTCTCTGTTCATGTATTCAATTTGTTGATTTGTTGAATGCCTGCCCTCTGCCAGAAATTGTATTAGATGTATTTCAGTTTCTATTTATTCTTGATTCAATTTGGAGTAATTATTTTGTCCCAGAGATTCAACAGTTTTATTGAGATATTCAAATTAGGTAAAGCTGTGCATGATCTCTCACAATTTTTGAATCTCCTCTACTTTTGATTTTTAATTGTGTTTTCTCCCTTTACTTTTCTATTTAAAATTTGAAAATAAACATGTCATCCTTGAGCAGGGGCCATGCTAATCTTTTCTGTATTGTTCCCATTTTAGTATATTTGCTGCCAGAGCAAGCATTCCCTTTTCTTTTTGATAAGACATGTCATATTTGTGTATTCCACTGCTTATATTTAAATAATTTGTCTTGAATATCTCAATTCTGTTTTCCTCTATTTTAAATATATTAGTTCCTGATCTCATTATTATATGTTTACTTTTCTTTTTCTAATTTCTTAATCCATTTTCATTTTTTAAGAATGAAAGTATCTACAACAATAAATTTATCTTTGATAATTATGAAAAAAATGGAAAAAAAGAGATGAAGAGAAAAAAGAAAACTAAAAGAACAGCCAACCAAAAATGTAGGAAAATGTTCAATAAAAGACAAGCTAACATTAACAACTCTGCCTAAATGAAGATCCAACGTTCAACTGAAATGATGTGGGCGGGGCAGCATCACACAGATCACTAACCACCTGGTTTGCAGCACCTTGGATTATTTAATCCTAAAGTTACAAATGAAATTTGTTGTCAATAATATGGACGTCTTATATTTGTGCTACACCAAACTGTAAAAAGCAAACCTGCCACAAAGTAGCGGAACTCAGCCTAAGGCAAAACACTTGGACTTCCAGAACTGATCCTGGCCTAAGAAATAAGATGCTAAGTAGAAGCATTCTATGCATTATTGTGTTTCCTAGAAAATTTTTTTAATTATATAACTTGTAGGTAATGAAACTGTTAAGGAAAAAAGTGTTGTTGCTGTTTTTTTTTTTAATTTTTAATTATTTTTAAATTTTTAGATGAAGGTCTATGTTGCCCAGGCTGGTCTTGAACTCCTAGGCTCAAGCAATCCTCCCACCTGTGCCTCTCGAGTAGCTGGTCTGCAGGTGCACATCACCAAATCTGGCTAATTTTTTTTTTTTTTGAAACAAGGTCTCACTCTGTCATCCAGGTTGGTGTACAGTAGCTCAATCTTGGCTCACTGCAACCTCCGCCTCCTAGGCTCAAGCAATCCTCCCACCTCAGACAGGTATGGTCTCCTTGTCTATTCCCACCTTACTGCTTGCAAGTAGCTGGAACTACAGGCACCTGCCACTATGCCCACCTAACTTTTTTATAGAGACAGCGTTTCTCCATGTTGCCCAGCCTGGTCTTGAACTCCTGAGCTCAGGCGATCAGCCCACCTCGGCCTCTCAAAGTGGTGAGATTACAGGTGTAAGCCACTGCACCTGGCCTTAAAAATGATTTTTTATGGCACCTCTAACAAAGGTGATTTATCAAAAGAGTGCATTTACTATTCAATAGATGAATGAAGACTGAAGTTAAGAAAACCTAGATGCCAATTTCTCCAAACGGAAAATCTATTCATTTATTTCAAATCATTTATAGCTAATCGAGTTACATTCCTCAGGTTAATGGCCCTCATGGGTTTAATCCCTAAAGATCAGAACCCATTAGGGAAGGAAGCTGTTTTTAAATAGAGAGTGGTGAATAGGAAGAAAGTGCTATGTCAAAGGGTTGCAAGACACACTAAACCAGCACGAGAATGGTTCCAACTGTCTGCTTTCCAAATATAAGACTATGTTAACCCAAACCCAAAACTTAGTAGTAGTAGTATAAAATGTAACGTCTTATTGGCAAATCTTTGGGTAGAGAAAAATCCTTGTCTAAAATTTCTATTCCAATTTATAAGAAACTTCATTTCAGAAAAAATATAGGGAAACCTACCACTGCTTAATTAAAGCCGTGCTGTTGTGTTCTCTAATTTCATTTTCTATTAGACTCTGCATTGTGAGACATAAATCTAATTTATTTACCAGTTCTGCTTCCCAGGGGGTAAAAAAAAATCTCAAAAAAAAATTTTTTTAAGAATAAAACCTATCTTCAACAGTTTATTAAAGCTTCTAGGCAAGGCATTCTATCCTGAGTTTGTGAGGCAAGAGATTTGTCTAATTCTCCGCTTAAGAAAATTAAGAGATACATCTGCTATAAAACTGTGCCTCCCAGCCCCTTTCCACAACAGCTTTGCTCACTGACAGTGCTGTAAGGATTCAAGACAAGGAGACCATGCCTGTCTGCAGGGATCTAGAACTGTTGCCTGGGCTTTTCAGGATGCCAACGCAGCATCCCTGTGATCCTGACATCTTGGTTCCTAGCTGCTATGACATGCTGCCACAGTTCCCAGGTCTCTTAACGAAAGTCAACTGAATAAGTGATTTTGAGAGGGAGAGGATGATGTTGTTCAGGCAATCTGAGATGCGGTTATAAATGTAAGACTGAAGCTAAAAGGGGGCTAGAAATACAATTTGGGGAGACAATAAATGTAAAAGGTGTAACTATCATGATAAATTTCCAGAGGAAAAATTATCCAAAAGGGA